CCAAAAAAAAATTTTTTTTTCAAAAAAACAAAAATCAAAAAATTTCCACACAGAACATCACACATTTTTCTATACTATTATCAATTTGATAATATGATGTTATAATGAAGCAATAATAGATTTAATTATAATTTAAAAAAAAATTAAAAAAAAAAAAAAAAAAAAAAAAAAAAAATAGTTTAGATATATTAGGCAGCATTAAAATTTTTAAAATCAAAAATAACAACAATAATTCAATTAAAAAAGAATGAGAAAAAGTTTTTTATATTAAATTACCAACCACAATATTGTTATTTTGTCTCAAAAAACAAAGATAATAATAGAATAAAGTTTGTAATTAAATTAAAAAATTATATTGTTATTATTGTTTTATTATTATATTTTTTTATAATAAATTAAAAACTTAAATAAAGAAGAAAGTAAATTAGATTTAATAGATTTGTGTTGATGTTCCATCCCCTTTTTTCTACAAACAGTAGTGTTCGATATCAATACAAAATTTAATAAATTATATAATACAGCTATATAATTTTTACTTTAAACCCAATAAAATTCCAATTTACTAAACTTTCAATCCATTTCAATTTTTTATAGTGTGTCTGTTGGGTGTTTGTTGTGTTGGGTGTTGTGTGTTGTGTGTTGGGTGTTGTGTGTTGTGTGTTGTGTGTTGTGTGTTGTGTGTTGTGTGTTGTGTGTTGTGTATTATGTTGTTTTTTGTTTGTTGGGTGTTTGTTGTGTTTGTTCTTTAAAATCTTATTTCACACATATTATATTTCATCAATCATCATAATTTTTCTTTTCTGATAATCACTCATATAATTGGCATATAGCGGAAACAAAATATAGATATAAATAAATGAAAAAAAATATAAAATTAGAATACAACTTAAAAAATTTAAGTTTTTTAAAAAAAAAGAAATTTATTTAATCACTCACTACCACTATATACTACAATTAGCCCCCCCAAATCACACAATAAAAAAAATAAAAATATAATTAAAAATTTTATTATGTTTTTAAAAAAATAATTAAAACTTTATAACTTTTATTCAACCCAAAAACATATACAAATAATAACAATAATAAAAGTAAGTATGCATTTATTGTTAATAGACAATGCAATTAATTTGGATGATTAAATAAATATTAATATTATTTTTTTTATAATTTTTTTTTAATTACTTTAAATTTCATTTTTTTTTATCTATAATCCTTCTTAGATTGCAATAAAAGTTTATAACTTTTAAAAAAAATGTCTGATAATTGTCTTCTAGAGGTAATTATTCTAAAATATAACTTTTTCTTAAAGCTTTATACTAATAAAATGATTTTTTTTTTTTTTTTATAATTTTATTTAACGATTATGGAATGCGTTTCACCATGCAACTTTAATAGACTGTTAAAAAAGGAAAATTACCACCAATTAAAGAATTTTTCAGCTTTGATACTTCCGAAAATCCAAAACAAAAATTTGTCCGTAAATCAACAGATCCATCAGAGCACTGTTATTCAAGAAAAAAGCTCGCTACCTCAAATTCTAACGGGGGTCCATCTTATATCTTAGATAATTCTAGATCATTAAATACTCAAACAGATGATGTTTTCGATAATATGTATCCAAACTACAATAATGATCATCTAGTTCAACCACATTTCCATATGAATAGCCAGCAAATTCCATTAAATGTAACGCAAACCATTCAAAACCACTCAAATTTTCATGATATGAATACCCTACAAACCCAATCAAATATATCGCAAACCGTTCAAACCCAATCAAATTTTCTTGATATGAATACCGAGCAAATCCAACCAAATGTATCGCAAACCATTCAAACCCAATCAAATTTCCATGATATGAATACCCAGCAAATTCCATTAAATGTAACGCAAATCATTCAAAACCACTCAAATTTTCATGATATGAATACCTTACAAACCCAATCAAATTTTCTTGATATGAATACCCAGCAAATCCAACCAAATGTATCGCAAACCATTCAAACTCAATCAAATTTCCATAATATGAATACCCAGCAAATTCCATTAAATGTAACGCAAACCGTGCAAAACCACTCAAATCTACATGATATGAATACCCTACAAATCCATGATATGAATACCCTGCAAACCCAATCAAATGTATCGCAAACCGAATACCAACTAACCCCAGAAGATTGGGAACGTCCAACTGCAATAAAGATGCAACAAACTCATCAATTTCATATCCGAAAACAAGAAAGACAACAGTTAAATGAACTACAACAGATTAGACAACAGATTCTCTTACAACATCCACAACAACAACTACAAATACAACCACAATACTCACAATACACACAGCACCTACAAAACCTACAATACCTACAATAGCTACAACCACGAATACTACTACTAAAGACAAAACCAAACTCATTAAAAAAATTCGGTATACAAAATATTGATATTCTCTGTCCAAACTTATTAAATAAAAAAACTAAAAATCATATTTTTTAAAAAATATATCATTTTCATAATTTTGTTAAAAATTTAAAAAAATTAAAAATTTTTTTTTTTTTTTTTTAAAATATCAAACCAAAAATTTTGATTTTTTTTTTTTAATTAATAATTATCACCCAAACAATACTCGCTGATATTGCTGTTTTTTTTTTATATGTATTCAATTTAATTAATAATTAATTTTTTATTATGATAATTATCAATTTTTTGATTTTAAAAATATCCATCTTTAAAATTCCAGAATTCCCAAAATTGTTTTTTAATTTTTTAATTTTTTTTATATTTTCAAAATTCATTAAAGATATTATCCTTTCTAAAAAAATTCACTATTAAAGATATTATTATGTATTGAGTGTTTTGTATTTTTTTTTTTATGAAAGAAATTAAAAAAAAAATTTTAATTATTTTAATATTTTTCGAAATTTTTAAAAAAAAAATTATTTGGAGATATTTTTCAAACAGCACAATAATTATTACTTTCATCGTTAATAATAATAACAATAAATAAAAAGAAATAATTATAAAAAAACATAAAAACAAATTTGAATATATTTTAAAACTATTATTATTATTTTTATTTTATTATTATAACTTAACCTAAAGTCTTGATAATTTTCAAAATTCATTAAATTGCCATATGAATTTTTATTATTACCCAATTTGAGTCCATTATAACTACTACTATTATTACTATTACTGTTATTTGTATTTAATAAATTACCTTCTTAAAACTCATCGAATGTATTGATTTTATTAATATTATTGTAGTTACTATTGTATTCAGTTCTTTGAGTGGTACCAAAAAAATTTGTGCTGTTTCTTGTTTTATCATTATTACTACTACTATTATCATCTATTTCTGTGCTTACAACAAGTTTGAATTGTTTTATTATTATCACTAAAATTATTATTGTGTCTAATCTTATTTTTATTGTTATTATTTTGTTGTGTCTAATCTTATTTTTATTATTATTATTTTGTTGTAACTACTTTTTAATTTTAACATTTTTCAGGTATTTATATTAGATTTGAGTGGTGTTCCTCTATAGTGTGAATATATTTATGTTCTTGAATGATTATTTCCAATACCTCTTCAAACCATTTTAATATTTTATATTTGTTCTTATTTGCTCAAAGTTGAATGTTTCATGAAGCAGTGATTAAGTAACCTCTTAATTATTTCTATAAACAATTTTTATATCGTTAGTTAATACTGAATACTTTGTAAAATCAATTTACCACGCTCTGTTATATAAGAAATAGTGTTTATATTTACCTTTAATGATTCAAACTTTGATTCATTAAAACTTTACATTTATTTAAGCAATCAAGGAAGTTTCATTTTTTTTTTTTTTTTGAATATGTCTAATGTTTATTTAAATTCTTTTCTGAGGTTGCAAAGATATTGTAATTATTATTATCTGTCTTTATTTATCATTATTAAAGATATAACTATGTTATAAAAAATATTATCACGTGGGTATTTTTTTTTTTAAAAAAATTAAAAATTAAAAATTAATTTTTTTTTTCAATTATTTTATTTTTTTTTAAATTTTATTTTATTTGAAATTTTTATTATGCAAAGCGATGAAGATATTTTTCAAACAAAGTAAAAATAAAAATTAATTTTAAGTAGAATTAGCCATTAGTAAAATCACCAAATTATACCAAAGAGAACAAAGAATTCTATAGACAAATCACAACAATATATTATATACTTTAAAAATATTCAGCTACTATTCATTCTGCGCTCAAGTATTTGTGAGTGAAAATCAATTACCATTTTCCATTTTGGAATTATTTTTATTTATATATATGGTGATATAATTGAACATCTTATTGGTAAGAAAATATACATCACAGTGTGTATGTAATATATCTATTTGAAATGTTAATATAAATTAACATTTTCCTTAATATTATAAATTTTGATAGTGAGTGTGTGTATAATTTTATTTGTGTGTTGAGTGGGAAAGGTAGAGTGTGTTGAAATGTTATAATACATTTTTGTTAACTGTGTGAAATTTTAACCACACAAATACAAATATTAAAAAATAAGTAATTTATTTTTTTAAAAAATACAACTTTAATTTAAATTGTATTTACTAATTTGGATTCGAATAATTAACTTTTCCCCCATTAATATATCAAAATTAATAATTTTTGCATTGTTCTATTTTTAAAAATATTTAAGTTCATAAAAAATTATGTTAAATTGGAATAGATCAAGATCCATGAGTATTTTTTTTTTCAAATTAGGTAAAAAAATATAAATTGTAAATATATATGGCAATGGCAATTTATAGCATCACCTTACTTGTTAATTCAAACAAAATAAAAATAAAAATTATCATAATTATTATTAAGTCACTTAATATTGATAGAGTCATAATTGGTTAATCATTAATAATTATTATTTTTAAAAAAAGGAATATTGGAGTTTGTAATGTTTTTTATACCCTACTCTATGCATTTAAACATTAATATTATTTAAATACCTGTCCCCCACTTCACACAATTTAGTATTTTCTTTCCCCCACCAAACACAAATGTATAATAGTGATTGTCAACAATTAATATAATATTACTATGGTGTTGTTTGAAACAAGTAAAAGATATATTCAGATTAGTGTTTTTATTTCTATTTTTAATTAAATTATTAAATTATGAAATTTTAAATAATTATAATTATAATAAAAAGAAAATTAAAAAAATAAAAGCATTTGTTTTATTAGTAAATATTAATTAAAAATAGAAAAGATGGATAATCAGACTTCTCTATCTGATGAACAGGCCGTTTTTAAAATTTTCCGTCTGTGTAATATTTATTTGACCGAAAATAATAAATTGTTGGGGTCCTCCATTTTTTTACAGTGTTATGGAGGTTTAAATGTAAAATTAACCGATACCAATGAACAAGAAGTAATTTCCGTACTACGCCGTTTTTCGCATCAAATTAAAAAAATTACCATTAATTCAATCACTAATACTCCTGCTATTTTTAATTATTACTCGCCCTTTATCATTAGACCGAATCTTACCTCTTTGAAATTAGCCCATATGGAGTATAACGTTCCAATTAAACTAGGAATGATCCCAAGTACTTTAAAAGAACTTACACTGCCAATAGATTATAATCATCCACTTCATGAATTCTTTATTATAAACGAATGTCTTTATTACATACCAGTTTTTCCCCCATATGGATTGACTAAATTGTATATTACCAACTTTTTTAATAAACCAATTCTTCCAAACGTGCTTCCAAGAACTTTAAAAGAACTAAAAATTGGTACTTCTTTCACTCATGAATTGTATTTCCAAAGTATTCCAGACTCTGTTACTTTGCTTAATTTTGACTGCCCATATTATAATCATCAGTTTGCTCCAGGAATCCTTCCAAGAAATTTAATAATGCTAGTGATTGGTAATAATGTTCCGTTATTACCTGGCTCTTTACCAGAATCTCTTACTTATCTCAAACTAGGTCGCCACTTTAACCATCCTATTACTCCTGATCTATTACCAATACATCTTAAAAAAATATCTTTTGGTCCAAATTTCAACAGTCTCTTTGTTCCATCCGAAAATATTCATACAATCATTTTTGGTGAAGAAATGTTATGTCAACCACAAAACTTTACAAAAAACGTTAGATCTGTAGAAATTAAAACCTCCGATTATTCAACATTACCAAATACTATTAATGAACTTATCGTTAATGCCGAAACAGAAATACTTCAAAAATTTCCAGTGAATCTTAATTATTTAGAACTAAACTGTACCAGTCCTTTCGAATTTACAAATGATGAGTTAAAATCACTCACTCATCTAAAGCATCTTAGACTTCTTGATGCTGATATAATGTTTAGTGTTCGACATTTACCAGAATCTATAGTATCGCTCGACCTTGGAGGTTTGGTCCCAAATGGTAATCTAGACCTAAGTCCATTGGCAAATCTTGTATACTTTAGTTTAGGTGCTGTACATCCCGTAAATACTAGATTTCCACCATCACTTCGTGCAATCAAATTTTATGGTGATCAAAATGAAGTGTTTGCAAATAATTATTTTCCAGCAACCCTTGAAATCCTTCAACTATCAAGATATCATGTCCAACCTCTATCAAACACATGGCTTCCATCGTCATTGAAAATCCTTATCCATCCTGGTGAACCTGTTATTGCTGAAGACTATAGACATCCAAACCTCATTAAATTTTATGTTAGTCATAAAAATTCAACCATCTTGTATAATGATCCTGCTTTTGTTATGGATAATCTTAATACTCTCCAACCATTTAAAACCAAATATAAGGTAATCATTGAAGATAATTTGAATCTCCATCTGCCATACCAAATAAATAATAAAAATAGTAAAAATTATTTTATGGCAGATAACTAAATTAAAACAAATAAAATCCTTTTTAATTTTTATAATAAAAATATTTTATGTGTAAAAATGTGAGTATTGTATAAGTGTCTAAAAGAATTTGTATATATATGTAAATTATGGGTGTGTATGTATATGCATATGTATATGAATATTATCAGAATATGATAATAAAAAAAGCTTAATATTTTTTTTAAATCTAAAAATATTGTTTATTTATTTATTTATTTATTTATTTTCTTTTAATATAAAAAATCTATTTAATAAATATTATATGGCTGGTAAACTTTGGAACACAACTATAAGCCTTTTATTTCTAAATTGTTTGCCGATGCGAGTTTTAAAACTAGTGCTACCTTTATCGTCCATAGATAAATGTAAATTTTTTCCAAAGAAGCCAAATCTTCAAAACCTCTTCCATCAACAACTCCATCTTCAGCTGTACTATCATCTTCATCTTAGCCTGTACTATCTTCTATACCTCTACTTCTTCCATCAAAAACTTCATCTTCAGCTGTACCTTCATCTAGATTATTATCTTCACTTTCATCATTTCATTATTCCCTTGATTAGGGTATTTTCGTGCATTGATCCCCATCTAAATGTTTAATTAGACATGAAGGTTGACAATAATAAAATGAATTTGTTTTAGAGAATTATTCTCAGCTCTTTTAAATGCCTCTTGATGGTGAATGTGAATCATTTGATTCAAATTCTAAATCAGATCCTTGTTTTTTATATAAATATTCTTGAGGTTGAAATTTATAATTTTCACAAAGTTCCTCTGATGTCCTATTTATGACTAAAGGAAAATTTACATCATACGTCAATGTATGAAAGTAGTATTCAAACACTTCTATTGATTCTTTACAAAGAAACAATCTTTAAATGTTACTATTTATCACTATTTATTATTAATTATTTATTTTTTAATAATTTTGCTGATTAAAAATTGAATAAAAAAAATTTAATAAAAAAAAAAAAATTATTTTTTAAAAAAAAAAAAAAAAAATTAATTTTTAATAAAATTTATGATATTTTTATTTTATTTTTTTTATGTGCACCTGTTTTGATAATTTTATAATAATTTTTTTTTAATTGACCAATTTTATTATAATAATTTTTTTTTAATTTTTTTTTTTAATTTTTTTTTTTTTATATTGCGATAGTTCTTTTGAAATTTTCATTTGCTATTTCGATCACATCAGAGGGTGTTGCATTAATGGCAATTTACAACGGTAATTAAAGAATTATATATAAGGCAACAATAAATAATCAAAAAGATAGAGTTTATTTGGGATCTAATAATTTAGGAGATGTGCTTATTCATATATTGGATTCGTTAAAAAGAATAAGCACTCAAACAACTGGAGATTTTGGATCTTTTAATATCATCATCTTTTCAAAATCGTAATAATAATAATAATAATAATAATAATAATAATAATAATAATAATAATAATAATAATAATAATAATAATAATAATAATAATAACAATAATAATAATAAAAATAAAAACAAATGGAAATGGTAATGGAGTTAATAATCGTAATATAAATAACAATAGCAATAGCAAAGAAAACCCCAGTATAGTAATATAG